TGCCACAGCATGACCAGCTGGGAAAACACACATGATTCTGAACCTGCACAGAAAACCCCGACCGGAATTTGCCGCAGCACTTTTAGAAAAGCCGAATGACAAAGTAGCGTTGGATAATATGTTCAACGATATACATGTCTCGATTCATACTGCTGCCGTATCTTTTCATATGACATATGATTACAATAAAACTGTTCACCGCATGTAAACGATCCTCATACAAAGATATAACAAAGTTACGAAGAAAGTTACGAAGTTAGATGCTTGGCATCGTAATGTCATCTTAATTCCATACAGATTTCGTTATTCCTTTATTCATTCAGTCACTCCTCACAAAACCTCCTGCCAATATCCAACGCTTTTTGAGCAACACGCTATGCTGCCAATGCATCACATTTGAATTTGACGAAGTGCCACATTGGTGCAAGGCTTGTATTGTGCGTTGCCACACATTGGATGCAGTGATGATCGAAGGCGCCTTATAAATTATTTTTTATTCCCAAAATTTACAAAGTGGTTATTTAAAATTGAATAGACAGAGACAAAACCTTTTTTGATTTATTTTACACGGCTGATCCCATTCTTATGTGTCATGAATTGGTATGGATTCCAACTTATTGAATGCTGTTCGGTTACAAAAAAGGTTGGTTCTGGAACGCAGACAAGCTGTTGGTAGAGCACACTAGAGAATACTCCCACTTAAATGGAGTAAGTGCTCCACATTTCTTTGTGTTTTGAACTGAAATGGCCATCATGAAGATCACTCGGCGCAGCTCACCGACCCGCCCTTCCTTCAGACCCAAACCCTTTTAGTTTCTGAGCTACACGCTCGCGATGATGTGCCGAGGAAATTTTTCGGGGAAACTATTTCAATGATACCCAGGCATCTCTGACGTCATAATAACGCCATTCCAGTCTTGCTTTTTCATTAGTCATGAGGCGATCAAGGCCAAGACCAATATAATTATCGAGTCGGCGTTCGTGACCACGATATTCATATATAGCGGCCGGCAACTGGCTTCCAGGCAATGTACAAGTTATGACCAACCAGTGCAAGTTATGATGACATAATCAAATAATGACGTGTTGGGGAGCATATTCACTAAACAGAAGAATAGCAAGGTGTAAAGAAGTCTTTTCCATTTACAAACATACCAATAGTTATAAGTGACCTTAGTTCAACATATTTGACACTTGCTTCAGTATCTTCAAACGTGGAACGCTCCCCTTAAGGCATGAGACAGAAAGTTTCTATGGCAAAAGACCATCGCTAGGAAATGGACATCGATAGTAATGTCTTCAGGAGAGCCTGTGACACTCATTCCTTGCATAGTTACGATTCGTTACCACTCATCATTCGACTGAGCTGCCGTCGAGAACTTAGGGATGATGAAGCCGAGTGGATATCGATGTAATTTGTGAATTGTGGATGATTTCACAAAAGCATGTGACATGCCTTACTTACCACGATCATTTTCTTTCTTGGCATTCGATTCGAATGGGGAAATGCAGCGGCGCTAGTAGTGACGCGGTTATTGGTTGAACGTAGTAGTTTTCCTATGAAAAAATACAAGTTGGAATTTTTTGACAACTTGATTTTTTGAATTTTTTTCAATGGACATATGGTTTATTCTTGGACTTTGGATTGGAATTTGAACGAGAACTTCCAGAAAGTGGTGTCTTTGGTAGTGATGCTGCGGCGTGATGCTAAATGTTCTGAACCTCCACGGTGATGTGCATAATGGAAGGCCAGAAACTGAGAATAAATGCTGATCTCACATTTTCCAAATGAAAAGTGGTCGGTGTGCGCGGCAGGTTCAATTGACTCAGTCTTCTTGTGAATCAATCACCGTAAAGTGGGCACCAGTTTTCACATTTTACAACATGATAATGCATCTTAGCCTTACAAAATAACGCAGGGTTACTTTTTAAAGACTGTCCTGATCGGACAGCTTTGGATGATCCGCCTTTGGCAATCACACGGGTCAGAGTCAAGGAAATAAGAAAGTGGCGTTTTAAGCTCTCACCATTTAACAATGAGCATGACTTCGCGTGAAAGACCAACACTCCAACCCTCCACACAATACACCGCGCATTGCTCTCCCTACCACAAAAAACTCTCCCCACCAAACAGTACTCTCCCCACCACGCAGTGCCCTCCCCACCACACAGTACTCTGCCCATCACCAGTGTTCTCCCCACCATGCAGTGCTTTCCGCACTACACAGTACTCTCCCCACCACGTACTGCTCTCTCCATCACGCAATACTCTCCCCACCGCACAGTGCTCTCCCCACCACACAGTGCTCTCCCCACCACACAGTGTTCTCCCCACCACATAGTGCTCTACCCACCAAACAGTACTCTCCCCACCACGTAGTGGTCTCCCCACCACACAGTGCTCTTCCCACCACGCAATACTCGCCCCACCGCACAGTACTCTCCCCACCACACAGTACTCTCCTCACCACACAGCACTCTCCCCACCACGCAGTACTCTCCCCACCACACAGCACTCTCCCCACCACGCAATGCTCTCTCCAACGCGCTGTGCTCTCTCCACCACACAGTACTCTCACCACCACACAGTACTCTCCCCACCACGTAATGCTCGCTCCACCGCACTGTGCTCTCTCCACCACACAGTGCTCTCCCTATCACGCAGTGCTCTCTCCATCACACAATGCTCTCCTCGTCTGTCGTGACCAGGGTCGGCTCTGTCTCACGCCACACTCTTTGACCGTCTTTCGCGCCTCATCTTCCCTTCGGGCGTCCCCGGCGGCCGCTGCCCGTCCTTGCGGCGTTCGCTTGGGCCGCTGTTGGTGCGGACAGGCTGGCACGCGGTGTGCGCCGCCTCACCACCACCCCGGGCTGAAGGGCCCTCCTCCAACGGCACGCCGTGAGTGGAGGGCGGACACATCGCCTCCCGCACAGGCTGTGCTGCGGCGCACCACATCCTGTGAAGTGCAGGGCGCTGTCCACTCCACGGCCGCTCCTATGTCGCTTGTCATTGGCCAGTCGATGACAAGCACACGCACGATGCTGGACACCTTGGTCTGGTCTGGTGAGTCTGTTCGCTGGATGCACTTGGCAAATTTTGTTACGTGTAGGCCGTAGGCGGGTCACAAGGTATTGTCTACGTTATGCGATAGCACAACGTATGCCACTGAAACTTCCACCGCTCCATCGGCCTCACGGATATCAGTAGCCACGCGTTAAATTGTTCGAGACAGCTTCCTAGCGGCTACACCACGCAGGTTACTACGTAACAGTTGTCAGAGACTGGAACTGTGTCGAGCTGTGCCATGAGTGCCCTTGACATCACAGGGGTGCCCGTTTAAACCAGGTTCAAGGACATGTCACACTCGGCGCGGCCACCGACCTGGCGCTGCGTGGCCGGCCGGAAGGGCGCAAACCATGTAGCCTGAAGCATTCTCTCCAGCACGACAGCGCCGCGTCATAAACTCGCCACCGTCGGTCGGCAGCGGGTGGTTTGAAACTTTGAAACATATCCGTGGTTGGCACGCGGCGAGCTGGCCGTTCTTTCGCCCTCATCCAGTTCTCCGCGTTGTCGTTTTTACCAGACGAGCATTCCGCGGGGGAGCTCCGGGATGGTTTGCGGAGCTAACTGCTTTCGGTGAGGGGAGAGTTAGATTTGGGACGGTGCTTTGACCTTTTGCAGATCGGGTCACAGCCACAGCTTGCGCGACGCAAGGACGTTCAACCTTGCCGGCAGGCACAGGCACCGAGCCCCTGCCTACGACTGGGCTGCACAAATCCTTTCAGGGGAGACCGTGCGGGTTCGGTGGATGCTGGGATTTAAAGGTATTGCGCGAATGCGCCAGAAAACAGCGCCATTGGTTGGCTTTTCTGCAAGCAAAACAAAAAGAACAAAGTAAGACTAAGCGTATTGCAGAGGCCCCTCAGTAACAACGCATCCCAACTTAAGGAAATGTTCGGACCATGACAGCAATGACAAAGGTGACAGGAAGTCCTGCCAAGCTGCCCCGCCAGCATACCGCAGTTAAGATGACATTTAAGGTTACCTCGCTTTATCCATTTGTTGTCTTTCAGACAAATGTCGGCCCATTTGGAGGTTATATCGCGGGCATCAAATAAATGCATCCTCCAAACACATACGTCAATGTTGCACATTCGCTGAGGTGTATTGGTAGGCAAATGAAAACACGACCAGCTCAATTATTCACCGACACATAACACATCCATGGGAACGGACACGCATGCACGCCTATCAGAATTACGCTTATTGCAAAAGTCCTCCATGCATTCAAAGTACAGTGGAACAAAGGGGGGCATAGTCATAGTTGTCGATTCCTGCACAGACTAGTATAAGGAACACACTACACCATGTAGTTTGTTTTGATTGAAATCGTGCACCAGATCTGACGATATTTACACAAAATAGCTCCTACATCGAATCGAATCTGCAATGAAAGGTCCTCAAAATACAATTCATTACGAAAATGGAGTGCAATTGCAAAGCTTGTCAAGAAGTGGCGGACAAAATGAAAGAATGTTGTATCCAATTATTGGATTTTGTGGAATTGCAAAGGAGTGATTTGCACGAGGACAAACATGAATTGTTCGAAAAGGAAAACAAAACACTCCTTGCAATCTATATCATATTCTTGCCGTCTAATTGTTGCACTTGATTGAATCCATGTCGTCTGTATCACTTAAGTGCGCCATATCAAACGACGCAGATGCCTCACATCACAAAGGACAAACTCTAGTCGTCAACATCGCTGGCGAAAACGGCAGTTTGTAACGAATTACACAAACGGCGATGCTCCGAACTAACCACCCCACAAACACATCCAGGGTCACCGGTATTGCTACAAATAGCCCAGCTTCGGCCACGGAGTACTGTCACGCGCATGACTTGTTCTCTACGAACACACGGAGCCCGCGATCGGCACCAGAGGCCGAGAGCCACCGCGCGCAGCGCCCCTGACGGCGGACGCGCGAAGCAGGCGCCACTACACGAGCGTGTCCAGCACGTAGCCGGCCGCCGCCTCGTCGCTGCTGCTGTGTAACGAGCTGAGGCCTGTGTCGGAGTTCGAGTCGCCGTCGGCGGCCGTCGTCTCCTTGCCGGCCGCGTGCGGCGGCGGTGCGCACGTGTACACGGGGTTAACGTAACCGGCGGGGGGCTCGTGTCGCGCCGGCCGCTGCGTCACCAGCAGCCGCTGTTCGTCCGCCAGCAGCCGGCGCTCGTCCTCTAGCATCCGCTGTTCGTCCGCCAACAGCCGTTGCTCGTCCGCGTCCGCCTCATCCAGCTCGTACTCGAGGTAGCGCACGAAGCGGCGCTTGTCCTCGAGCGCGCGCTCGCACTCGATAAGTGAGCGTTCGTTCTGTTCGATCTCGGCCGTCTGGCGCGCGCAGACGGCCATGAGCCGCTGCAGCTCGGCGCGCGAGATCTCGAGCTCGAGCACCGTCTGCGACGCGTCGCCGTCGTCGGGCTCGGCGGCGGCGCGGCGCGCGCGCTGGCCCAGCCGCAGCGCCGCCTCCTCACGCTCGGCGATGCGTCCGTTGAGCTCCACGATGCGCTCGAGGTATTGCAGCGTTTGGCGCAGGTCGGAGACGGCCTCCTCCTCGCTGACGTCACGCGGCGCGTCGCCGGCGTCGGCGCCCAGCTCGGCGCCCACACCGCTGTCGTGACTCGCCTTCTCCGCCTCGGCCGGCTCGCCGTCGCGGAGGTACGTGCGGAGCAGGTAGTCGGAGCCGAGCCGGTCCTCCCTCATGCGGTGCATCTTGTGCTCGTAGTAGCCGATCAGGTCCTCGCGCTCGTGCAGCCGGCGCAGCTGTGCCGCGATCGTCTCGCCCTGCACCAGGATCGTCTGCATGAGCCGCTCGACCACGTCGGGGCGCGCCGCACCCTCGGCGTCGGCCTTCGGCGCCAGCTTGCGGGGGTGCACCGCCTCCAGGCTGCTGGAGCTGCGCCAGCGGTGGCGCGAGTGCCGCCGCCGCGGCGTCTTCACCTCCTTCGGCGTCAGCGGGCTGAGCCGCTTGAGCGTGAAGCGCACGTCGGCCGTGTCCTGACCCCAGGTGCGCCACACCTTCTGGATGCGCGCGCCGGCGTCCAGTGGCCGCTCCACCTGGCGCCAGCGCTCGACCAGGCCGTGCGCGCGCAGCTCGGCCTCGGAGGGCGGCTCGGCGCTGAGCTCGGTGGTGAGCAGGGCGCGCACCAGGTCGGCGCAGGTGGTGCGCCGGCCCACGCCCGTCACCCACTTCTCCACGCCGTTCACCCACACCGGGATCTCGCAGGTCATCGTCATCTGCAATGGACGAAGGCGCGGTCAGTTGCGGGCTACCTTGAACGGAACGGGCGGAGTTGCGAGCGCTTTGTTCCCGGGTGGTCCTTTCATTGTGGATCAACGCTCACGAAAACAGTCACCTCGTGGAGAGCGTCGGTCGGCCTTCAGATAAACAGGCAAATCAGACTGCCAGCCTGATCACGGCCAGCCGCCGACACCTGGCTTAACGCCCGGATCCAATCGCCCAACATTCGCAACGCATCGCCTCAAACAGCACGATGAGGGCAGACTTCCAACGCACCACCGCTGCTCCTCGCACCAAGCTTGAGCTCGAGCCGGAGCCCGAGCTCCGCCAGCCACGGCAGCTCGGGCCAGCGCGCGGCGGCGCCGGCCGGGCCGCGTGTCGCCGGAGGGCGTCGCCCCGCCCACGCCCGGCTACCGGTGTCGATACGATCAGAGGCGCCCGCGCTCCGGAGGCATCTCAATAGCGCAGGCGCCCCGGGCGCACCGGCGCCGCATTGACACCTGGCTGCACGTGCAAGCCCGGGGCGCGCCGCGACTCCGATGCAGATCTGGGCAGCGGCCCAGCAGCGGGCGCGGCATAAACGAGCAGGGACGCTTGTGCAGCGGCCAGTCGGCTAGGATTTTCAGCTCATTGACCGACGCCGGCTATATCAGTGCTCTAGGCATAGGTTCTGCCTGCAAACCTTCAAAAATTTCATGGAACACAAATGTAATAAAAGATTGTCCGGGTAAAACCTAGCCAACAGCCCGCTGCCGGTGGCAACAACTTCCACTTAAACGTCACGTAGGTGGTGTTGTGGGCGGACGATGGCAGGGATGGCCAGAGAGGCCCGCCGACACGCGGCAGGCGCTGCCCAAATTTACACCCAAACGGTACACATCTCCGATGTACGGCCGGGATTGTGCAACACTGACGAAAAGCGCCGTAAAGCGGTGAATGATTTCATAGACGCGCTGTGTGAAAGGAGTGATTGAATGGCGTTGATAGCGGCGGCTTATCACACCGATGTAATCACAGTTCGCTGGATAAGGCCAGCCTTGGACGCGCGCTGCAGCTTATTGGGGTTACGCAACGCCGGTCGAGACAGGGGATTTCATTAGCTATAATCCCAGCGTCAGAGACGAAGTCTTGCTTGCACAGGCTACATTGTATGTTAAGTCGTCAACGTGTGAAAGCGAGTCGATTAGATTTTGCAACGAGTCGATGAATTCCAATAGAGTCACTGCATTCAGGTTATTGGATAATGGTACGAGCCTGTTTCACAGTTCTGCATGTGTCTGCAGAATGCTGTGCGGAAAATATGGCAATAACCCGGCAAACGCTCCTAGAAAGCTCCAGGCCTTCTCTCCAACGTTTCTTACCACGGCGACTTTGCCTGCATAACTTCTTCGAAGATCTTCATCCACCGAGCCTTGCACCAGCATGTCACCAGGATTCACACAAAACAACCTACCAAGCCTGACCCGCACCATGGACCAATGTGTTTTGTGCGCTTCTGGGAGGCTCCAGATCGCCGCTACGGCCCAGACTGCAGTCTCGCCCGGCCGCGTAGGCCCGCCGCGCTGCCCGCCGCGCCCCGAGCCCTGGAGACCGCCGCCTGAATCCCGAGCCGCCAGCGGCCCATGACGGTCCGGCCCCGCCCACAGAGCCCGCTAATCAACTGTCATCTAACGGCGCACTCCGGCCCTCAGCTGCCACCGGGACCAAACACCGACGGACACGCGGACCGGCACGCCACGGCGAGCCGGCCCTCCCGCCGCGAGCCGGCCGTGCCCAGACGCCGGCCGACCCCGTGCTGACACACGTCCCCGCCCCGGTTGGCGGCCGCTGCCGTGAGAGCGCTGCTCACGTGATCGCCGGCCAGCGCGCCTCTCGGCGGCGCGGCGGGCAGGGCGGGCCCACGCCGGCGGTAATTGCGGCGACGGCGGTCGCGGCCTGTGCCCTGGGGCGCCATCTGAGCGCGTTTGTCGTCGGCCGCCCGCCGCCGCCGGCTCGGGGAGACCTTGGACGACGGAGGGCGGGGACACCTGTCACGGCCACTCATTAGCGGTATACTAAAACGGGCGCTGAATATTTGGTCATAATCGGCCGAGATCGCGATTGTGGCGCGGTGATTGCGATTGCGGCGTGCTCTGTGAGAGCCGCGCTCTTACGTTGGTGGGGTCGAGGACAAGGCCGGCTAGCAGTCTCACGCCAAATTGGGATAAGGAGCACAAGCTCTTGTTGCAGTGCAAACTTACATCCCGTTCCCACGGGAACCGCTCAAGGCAAAATGACACCCACAGCAAGAGACCAAACGCGTCATTGCAAAACCTGGCCGACTTGACAAAAGCGGTTGGTTACATTGAAGGAACAAACGATTCGGCAGCGTGTGGTCCAATGCAGCAGCCACCTATCTATCGGAGATGAGATTATCATATATATATATATATATATATATATATATATATATATATATACATCTTAAGTTAAAATAAAGATTAAATAAGCAAAGCAAAAGAAATGCAAAAGGGTATCACACACACACACATATAAAGTTGCAGTACATATTTTCCGGACATGCAAGGTGCTGGCGGATCGGACGCCCGGCTCTCGAGACGCGCTCGCTGCCTTGCAGAACTTCACAGATATGGCTCACCAGTTGCATACTTCATTTTGAGCTAACTTACAGACGCTGTAAAATGTCTAAGCTCCGACAAATGGACTCGGCACAAGAACACAATGTACATCGCGTAAGCAGCCGGTCCCGTTATTATGACAGCAGAGTTCGTGGATACATGCCTCCCTGACGAGCTTCTAGTGAGTTTTTGGATACGCGCGTGGACTCCCGCGCATGCGCACACGTCAAACCGCATGCGCGTACGTGGAGAATACAAGCATTATCCACGCGCCACACCACACGCACAACGCGCATGATAACGCCGACCCATCCGCACATATCTCACGGCTTTGAAGTCCCCGTCACACCGCTGCCGGGGCCCTGAGTCCTCCCCCACACTCGCGGGCCCACCGGCACCTCCGCGGCGGCCTCCTCAAAGACGAGCGGTCCGACTGTAGAGGCACATTTGCGTGCCTGCATGAGGGCGGCGGGCTCTGCCGGCACCGAAGCAGCCGCCAGCCGCCGCCCGCGGCCGCTCAACGCGAGCGCCGCGCCCAATAACTCACGCGGCAACTACGTGTTTATGAGTGCAGTCTCGTCTGACGCGGCCGGGGCGGGCTGCGCCGCGCCGGGGCTGACCCGGGGTTAGTGCCGGCGCCGGCGAACGGCTGTGAGCGCGGCACGACCGTGGCGGCGGTGGAGAAGGGAGCGACGGAGGGTGATGTTGATGGCGATGGTGATGGTAATGGATGGGGATTCGGGCCCGCGCAGCCGTGCAGCGCCTACCAGGACGAAGGGACGTCTCTGGAGGCGCGCGGAACGGCAATGACGATGATAATCACGATAATGACGTCGATGATGACGTGATGATGGTGGGGTGTGTGGCAGGGTGTGTCACGTGCGATACGGGCGGCACCTGCGCTGACTAGCGCGTGCCACGGATAGAGAGCACGCACCCGAGGACAGCTCTCTCGGCGATGGCCACATTTCCCGCTGCGGCCGTTTACCCGACGACCTCGGCTTCACGACTAAAAACCTCAGCACTATCCCGGTCTGGGGAGTCTTGAACTAGGCTCAGTGTAACCGCCATGCGGCAGGGCGATTACAAAGCTTAACAACAGCTTGCACCAGCCGCTGCCTGGTTCGCTGGCCTCCGTAAGAGGTTCCCCTCCGGACTGTGTTCAGCTGGCGCCACCCTCATCTCCCGATGGACGCGGACGACACACGCCCAACTAAGACGGGCTAGTTAGAGCTGTCTCGTGCTTGGATCGAACGTAGCGTGATCATTGTGCACACTGGCATGCATGCATGTACTACACAATCACCACACGCCACTGGAGAACTGCCGGAGGTGATTGCGCTATGTCATGACATCTGGATGACAAGAGAAGACGCATGTGAAATTGGGAGTCGTGCTTCCAGGCGCCCGGGGATACCGACGCCGACAAAGATGTCACAGTTAAGGTCGACGGTAGCCGAGCGACTAAGCCGAACACCAGTTTGGACCGAACAGTTTCGTATCATGGCGGCTCATCACAACGCTCGAAAAATTCTGGCCTCGCACAGCCTTTAAACTACTGATTTCATCTGAAGGCTAAGGCCGGCGCGCGCCAAAATATGGCTAACTTTTCATCTCCGATACAGCGAGACCATTTACTATTTATGAGAGCCTGTTTGTTTTACCACGCTGTTCTAGCCACAGTTCTTGGTAAGCCATAGCACGCGGTCTCCAGGATCAGTCAAGCTGTAATGAGCGCAGATTCACCCCCATCACGGTGCATTCCACCCTCGTTTTTTTGCTAGCCCTTACCCTTGCCCGGCCAACTTTTATTTTCACCCGGCGCACTCCTGGGGAGGAGACCTGTGAATTATAGGCGCCAGAAAATGAAATTCTTCCCTCTGCTGGACATTAAATAGCTCTAATGCCGACGCCGCCATAATATTAAAACATTATCGCTGAACGGGAGGGAAATGATTATGGCAGCCGCCGCGTCTGTTCGTTCCGCGTTCGAACCGTACATCGCGTGCAGCCAATCTCAGCGCCGGCTGCACCGCGGCCGACAGCAGAGCGCCCGTGAAGCGAGAGTGACGGGAGTGGAGGAGAGAGCGACCGACGCGACGAGGCTACCGGCTGCCGGCCTGCGGTCGGCGAAAAACACGGCAGCCGGCGGCCGCCCGGCCGAAAAACAAACTCGCTGTCAGCGCGGCGGCGCGGGCAGCCCGCGGCGGCCGGCGAGCGTTAGCTGCGCCGTTTTTGGTCGGCGGTCGCGGCAGCTGCGAGATGCCTGCGGCCGCCGGGCGTCAGCGGCCGCCGTTGCTCCGCAAGTTGGTGCTCTGACGGTCGGTCTGAGCACGGCTCCGCACCGTCTGCTCGGCTCCGCGCCGTCCGCTCGGCTC